TCAAACCACTTTGGCAGATGTGATGTTACAGACTAATAAGTGTTTCAAGAGTAAGTAGCAGACAAATTGGCATACCTCCTTATATTTATTTTTTTAACAAAGAGAGAATTATTAATTTTGTCTTGAGATAGTCCTGCATAGTTAGCAGTAAATATTCAGTTTAAACTAAAAACAAGTTAAACTACACTTTAAACCTAAATATAAAATTATCTGACTTACTCAGATATACAGTTTTTGCAGTGTAAACATTTTTTCTCTCTTTTCATCCCTTCTCTTCCCCTCTTTCTTTTATATGTAGTATTCAATATCCCTCCTGCTCGTATTACTTAGACTTTTAACAGGCCCGCGTGAAAAGGAGGGAATTGTATAAGCCATGATTTTACTGCTTCCTTATCCACCCAACCCCCGGCCAACACTGTGGCGCGCTTGTTGCTGTCCCTTAGTATCACGCTCAGCAAGTTAAATCCAACCCTCCCCACACATACCTCCTTACCCCTCTTACTGAACAATAAACATTATTTTATGGCCCTGTAGACGATAAGTACAGAAGAATAAAAAGATCAGGAGTGGCGTATATGTCAGGGAGTAAATGCCATTCTTCATTTGAGATATTACTCTATTCCACTGCAATGCTAACATTTGAACTTGCAGGAACTTTTGACTGTAAGATTAAAAAGCTTCTTCTGTTTAAGCTGTTGTTGTAATTCTGACAAAAGCAGACAATCTACTTATACACAGAGATAGGTTAGCGAGGATTTAAACTTGATTCAGTGCCAGAATGAAACAATTGTTTTTAGAGACTGAGTAAGTTCAGGGTAAGTAAGGAGAGATGAAAACATCAGGTTATTGTTGAACTAAACCCAAAGGAAGTGTCTTCTGAAAGAGGGGGCAGTACTCGCTGTAAAAAAAAACTTTTAATTACCGGGGAACAAAACAAAAGGTGACATGGCTGAATGTTTTCCATTTTTTATTTCAGCGCATCTTCTTTTATTTCCAGCAGATGTGATTACAATCGCTTGATTTTTCCTTTCTTTTGAAGGTAACTCCTTTGGGTTTATTTCCACAGTGTGCAATATTTAACCATTCAATCTTTCAACATTAATTTGGGATTCGTTGCCCCTCCCCCCCCCTATCCATGCTGCCCAGTAAATCAAGCCCCCCAACCTCCCTCCATTACACACACACAAACACACGCACGCACACAAACACACCCCAACTCCCCCTCTTCTTGGCTATCGGACATCAATCTAGCCAGCACCGTCTGCTAAGCCTCACTGGGCAATTAACCACATTGAAAGTGAAAGCTCTAATCAATCCCTGGCCTTCTCCATCACACACATATAGACACAGACAAACACACACACACTCCTAAATCCATTGGTGTAAATGTCTCTGCCATTTATACAAGAGTAGAGCTGTCCAAACAGCACTTTTAAAACCTGCTGTCCCTTCAAGGACACACAAAAAAACACAGACACAAACACAGTTTTTTTGTGCTTGTGTCTGTGTTTTTTTGTGCTTTTACTTGCCTAAATCTTGAATAAAAACAGATAAGTCATCTAATCCTTTCCTGTGTTTGACCAACATCTCTGGGTTCAGAGCTTCAGTAGGCCATCATGCACTTACTAATACTATAGATTTATCACCAGTCTCTGACATGCACATGTCATTAACACACTGGAGTTAGCTACCTTACAGATTACACTTACACACATAAACTAAAGATTTTTATTTTAAATTTAAAACTAATGACAATTTTAAAGGACTGTAAGCAAGATCATTTTGCCAGAAAAGGACACCCTTGTTTTACAGATCTGCACATACAGAAATCAGGCTAAAAGCGTCTCAAAGACCCTGCAACCCTTCTGCCTGTACATGGCGTGGGCTAAATGTGAACTGTGAGAGGGACTGCTGTGAAATTCAGGCATCCCTCCACAGCTTGTCTCATTGATTCATGTGGGCCTAAATGTCAGCACCAGCAGGGCAGAGGACCCTGGTAAACCCCCTGAGAGTTCAGGGTGATGGGGGCTAAAGACAGTGTGATCCACAGCCTCATCTCAAAATAGCCTGCTTGACTCTGATGCTGTCAAAGTACAAGACATCATTGATTAGAAGACTCAAAGAATATTATGTCCACAGATAAAGGTACTGTATTTTCTGATATATGGATTTTCTCTTATGAGCAGCATTTATTTAAATCATATACTGTTATCCCTTCTCTAAACCCTCACACTCATGCCTCCATCCACACTGTGTAATTTCTGGATTCCTACTGATTCTTCAATATTTCTTTCGTATTCTGTTTATATATTACATACAGCGTGACTTAATGGGGGGCTACATAAATATCATGTCATCTGCGAGCCTCGCTTAGAATTATTGACCCGTCAGCTATTGATTTTAGTGTCTTTGTTCATGCATTCATGGGTAAGTTCAGTGCTTTGATCATTTGGTGCGTTATGCTAAATCTACATCAAACACAGAATAGGAATCAATAGCTCTTCCTCGTTACATGAATGATAATGAAATCAGCATGATTGCAAGGATGCTGGTGATTGATTGTACTACAGTTTTGAGGGGCTCAGGGAGATGCTGAATCTGCTTTTACCATGTCTTGATCATACCTGTATACAATGGTTTCTTCCCACACTGCAAAGACATGCAGACTAAATGATATAGAAACTTAAACTCGTCATTAGGGTTTGAATATAGTCAGAACTAGTTGTAATGACGATGATCATGGCCCCCTTTTCTTACATCCACACAGCTCACCAATCATGGTGTGAAGAAGGTGTGAATGTCAGCAAACAACCACCTAATCCAATGTTGGAAAACTTTGGATAAGCATTCTCAAACAAAAAAAACAGCGTTACTGAAATCACATTTCAAAGCCCTTAAGTTTGAGTAAGAATTTCTTGATGTTGAATTGTAAGTAACACTGACATAATGCTGCCTGCTGAAATTTGCCTACACAGTAAAAACCCAACCACGTCACTGCCTGACTCTTAGGTAACCCAAACAGTGCTGCTGCCCAAGCAGGTATATCTTAACAAATACTACGGCCCACAGGTGCCAGCTTATTAGAAGGACTGTAGGTTCTGATCTAGAAATACAAACAAACATAGGCCCTTTCACATTTTTCACAAGTTTCGTGGCCACCATAGTTTTTCCTACAGCCTTGGAATGTGAGTATTCAGTTGGCTGTAATCTGCAGCTTCACCAGTAGATGCCACTCAATCCTACACACTGGTCTTTTAACACAATTAATCCTGCCTCATCCTCTCTCAACTGAAAGCTGTAGTGCAGTTTTTAGTGAGCCAATCCTGGTCGCACCTGAGTAACAAGGGGCTAAAAGCTAAAAGAAACATATCGGTAGTTCTACATTAGAGCTCTCTTCAAAACCATACCTTAAAGAAAAGGCTACAGATGTATCTGTCTTTTTGTAACGCACTTGCACACACATACACACACATTACTCTTAACTACCTCCTGGGTTCATACAGAGCAACCGTCCCACTCAGTATATTAGAATAATGACACAGCGAGCCCACTTCTAGTGAGGGGGATGAGGACACCCAGTCAGTTAACAGTCATAGCAGAGTGGATAACACAAAAGTATAAATATTACCTGAACAAATATGCATAAGTGCAGTGCACACATATTTTTTTAAAGATTTAGCTGCAAACTGGAGGGATAATCTGAAAATGTGCAGCCACTTGTTACATCCGGCGCCGGCGCGAGCAGGATGCTTATCCAGTGTTTACTGTAGCTACTGTTAATTTTATACTGTTCATTTTATATATTATATACATACATAACACTACATAATAATATTATCTTATCTTATTTTTGATTCTGTTCTTAAGGTCAGGGTTTTTAATTTTAGTTTAATGTATGTTTGTATTAAATTTTGTATGCTACTAGATGCTTGAATTTCCCTCGGGATAAATAAAGTATCTATCTATCTACTTTATGCACTCGGGTAAGGGTAAATAAGGCTGAAAATGTGGTCCCTTGGTCATTTTCTTTGTTCTACATTGTGGAAAAACATTGTGAGACAGGGGGTTGGAGGTGTGTGACTGAGTTGAGGGGAGATCAACATGTCAAATCAGATTAACAGGTAAGAGCTTATTCATTTTAAAGCAGTAATACACAAAGTGGGGTGCAGACACCTCAGGCTGTTCCCCTGTGGGGCTGCAGAGGGAAGGGCTTAATCTGATTGCTAATGTATTTCACAATGAGCCCAGGAAACATGTGCAAAAACCTTTTTTAACACTGACTACACTCTTTGCTTAGTTTACTATCACACAGAGTTGAAGCTTTGCCATGCTCAATTTGAAAATACCCATCGAACTAACGTTTCCTCACATGAAGGGTTCCTGAAAGCACATTTTATAAGATGCAAGTCTTTGCTTTCATGTTTAACTTTGTGGGGGTGGTGTAAAGAGTGGGGGTTGGGGGCTGTCATTTACATACAAATTTGGGAACCTCTGCTTTTTTTTGTCCCCTATAGCTTCTTCTAAGAATTCTTCTTTTAGCCTGAAATGACTGTGCAGCCCTTTAAATGCCTTTAAAAAATACCATCAACACAGTATATTGAAGAAAAAAAAAACATCTTATGGTTCCTCATAAGCTTATGAGCTCAGACTATAGACACATTATCTTCATGGAAATATTATGATAACACAGAGTTTAAAACACTACCAGCATAGGGGAACTGTAAACCTACCAGTGACCACCCATGTCTCTTTAAAATGCCACAGGAAGCCTCCAAACTAACATTACAGGAGTTAAAACGCGTCTTTTAGCGCAAGATCACCACAAACTGCCTCCTAAAATCCTAACAAAGTCCACGAAAGAATACGGGAAAGGTTGTTTCGCCAGGGTTTTTGTGATCAGGGTTCTTTCTCATTGAGATTTTGAAGTTGCCGCTGAATGGGGGAGCATGTGATAGGCTGAAGCTTTAGGAAGAAAGGAGCTGCTCTATTCAGTCGCCAGAGCAGTGCTGCTGGAGAGCTCTCCGATCGACCGCAGGCTCCAGCTAAAAAAACAAATACGTGACACATAGCGTTTTATTTTTTAATTTTATTTATTAATTTCTCGCCGTATCGTCGCCTCAAAACAAAGATGTAACTTGTCGACCTCACCTCAAGCATATTGATGTATTTGAAAAGAGCCGGGAGCGAGTGCGCCGAGACGAGAAGCCGAGCTGTTTCGCCGAATGGAACTTATTGTTGTGCATTTGTTTTGACTATGTTATCCCCGAGTGAGTTTGGCTTCAGTCCATCTCTGTCCGTCGTCGACCCTTGAATTTTTTGGGATTTATATCCGAATAGTTTAAGGGGAAACACCGAGGGAGGATTCTGCAAAGCGAGCTTTTCCAGCAGAGCCGGGGATTTAAATCGTCATTGGTGGTGCTCCGTAGAGGCGAGTCAAAGAAAGAAAATTCATGTGGCCATTCTTTCTATAGCCAAACATTTTTTTGGGGGATTGCATAATGAGCAAGGAAAGACCTAAGAGGAATATCATTCAAAAGAAATACGTAAGTACAAACCCATCTTTTGCTTACGTTTGCACCCAAAATGCAACCCTCGTCTCTATTCAAGTTTGTCTTGCTCATCTAAATAGCGTAAACTTTCATTCCTGACTGTGAAGGTTACCATCAGCCGAGCCTGTGTGCTATTTGGGTCATCCTTTAAAAGGCAACGACTATAAGTTGCCTCAACGTGTTAACAATTGTGCTCTTTTTTTATTATTTAAAGAGACAGCTATGTTTATTCACTGTCTGCAGCGTTTCTTCGACATCAGACATGTTTTGGGCTATCTGAACATCGGGTGCTTTTAGGTTGGTGGGGGTGAAGAAGAGATTGCTTCGCTCATTTTGGCCCGTTTTAACGCGTGATAGGGGCATGCACGGTGCACCCTGGCTACGTGATAAAGCTATTAAAGGTTTTTAAATTAAACGACTTGTGTCTTTCAGAAAAAGGCTTTTGTTCGCTTCCTATTCAGAGCCGCGAAGACAAGCCTATCGGCCATGGCTCAGCTATTTCGGCTTCCATTTCGTCCCACGCTGAGCATTTCACCTCCGCTTTAAACTGAGCTCTTCTAAACCATCCTCATGCTGAAGCTTATGTATAGAGTTTATATTCAAGATAGCGCTGTGTCTGTTTGGTTGCTTGTGTGGGGTTTTTCTTCTTCTGCAGGGCTGACAAACCGACGTGTTTCGCGGACTGTTGTGGCTCTTTAATTTTCTCCATAAAGAGTAAGGGAGAGCAGGAGGAAAGGGGGGGTCATGCAATTCAGCATATCCGGTCAATTTCCAAACACTTGAAACGGTGAGGGGGTGGACACTCTCGGGCTTGTTGTCGTGCTGTTGTCTTTGCTATCATTCTTCCCATAAAGAAGTCCGCCGGGCTCGCAGTCATATTTGCAGGTCTCCGTGTGACCTCTGAACGGGCAGATATTGCAGCAGCCCCGCTGAGGGATAACTCCATTTTTTTTGCAGTACTACCGGGGATTAGCTTACAAGCGTTTGGGTCTCGTCCTCCAGCTACCGAATTCACATGAAACTGCGCATTAACGCGGTCTGTGTGGCTTTGAACACAGTGTTTCTGAACGAGGCAGTCTCTTTTAAAGAGGCTGTGTTCAGTCGCATTGCAGAGGCTCATGTATGAAACGGTACCAAGAAGCAACCATTTTCTTTCTCTAAGTAACACTGGGGAATTTATAGGGGATGGGGCTGCGAAATAAAATAGTTCAGCTTGAGCTCGGCTTAAATTGTAGTCTTGGGGGGTGGGGGGGTTAGGCTTCGGTGTGGTGAACGCCTATTTGTCCTCCCTCATGAATGAAACAAAGAGGTTTAATCTTGCAAAGTGTGAATGGCTCAGCATATCACTCTACTAAGTTACCATGTATCGTTTTCATGAAGACTACACGCCGGCCGGGGCCTCTGAGCCGTCTGGGCTTTTTTAAAGTTTGTTGCACTTTTAAAAAAAAAACAACGTATTTTTAGATTGTAGCTGTGAATTATCGTCACGCGCCTAATAGGCACATTGTTGCGTTTAATTGCACGAGGCATATCATGTCTGTTAATGCTCTGAAGCCGGAGTCAGCAGTCAGCTAACCGCCCCCCCCAGTCCACACAGCACGTGGAGTGTCTTTTTAAAAGTGTGTTAACTCCTTGCAGACAGTTTGGTTACCGAATCAATCGCAAACTGGAACAATTTGTCGCGTTTATTTTGCGCTGAGCGAAATGGTTAAGGTCAAGCTGAGCAACAGGTTTGTGCGAGCAAGAGAACAACTGGACTGACGTTTCCATGTGTTCTTGAATGCATCTTCACTCAACTGTGGAGTTTACGGTTTCTCTCAAGTACAGAGAATTAAATGCATTTCATTTGTAATCAATTAGAGCATAGTCTGAATGGCATTCTTTAAGTTAGTGCTCTCGTGGTGTCTGCCTCATAATAGCTGTAAACGTCCCGCTACAAGTATGAATAAATGGATCCAGTGTCAAGAAAAAAATATTTCATAGAGAACCTGTCATTGAACTTTTATTTGACTAATTTGAATTAGTGTTTTCTGTGGTCCAGTCCACTGCATATTGTGATTCTATTACAAAGAAATAAAATATCACCTCTATAAAAAAAAATGATTCTAACATCTGTATATCTTATGGGCAACATATATTTCTCACACGTCATAATGTGCTGAAATGTGTGGGCATCAACCTTTTACTTGTTAGAAAGCAACACAAATGTGAGTCCCCCTTGAAAAGCAGACAGACATTTAAAAAGGTACATACAGCCCAGTCTCTTGTGTGTAACATTTGTACTATATATACATACTCTGCAGTCGTGATCAACACCCTATAGTGTCCTGTCATAGAGCGGACTTTTTTTTTTAAAGTTCAACCGTGACTTTGACTTTTCCCTTCCAATGAGCAAGTATATTCAGTTACATTAACATGTAACCTCTGCTATATTTTAATTGCCATGTGTTAACAATAATAAAAGTTGCTTGTATTGAGGAAATAGGATGTGCCAAAGAATGGATGACTGAAACTAAAGTCCCCACTTAAAATTAACCAGACTATGATGGCCCAAAATGTCACACACTCTGAAATAGGATGGACTTTTTTACATTTGGTCTATTCATAACTTACTATTCATAAGAACTTCAGGCTTAGGGAAATGGTTTGTCTGTCTGCCTGCAGGATGTATGTTTCTGTCGTGTGTGTGTGTGTGTGTGCGCGCGCGTGCGTGTGTGTGCGCGCGCGTGCGCATGTGTCACATCTGTCATGTGTTTTCGGCAGCTGCAGTTAATGCATAAAGTCTGGCCTGGACCAAATAAGGCTCACAAACATGCATTTCTACGACAACCTGGACGAGTCCAGATCCCCAGGCCCCCCTCCAGGCTTGAGACAGGACTCCTGGCCCCTACTGATCCTTCCCCCTCTCACACACACACCCCTCCCCCCTTAATTAGCGTAAGACAATTATACATGCTTGGCTTAACCATTTCCCCCGAAAACATGAATGTGAGTTGTTACCCCTCCACCCCCACCCTCTGCACCCAACAAACAACCACTATCTGCGACTGATATTAAAATTCATCAGTCATAAAATGATTTAAAAGTGGGAATGAGTCCCTAATAAAAGCAAACAAGGCGATTGCCATTTTCTACTAGAATTGATTGCTACCATTGTGAACGGAACCAAAAAGAGAAGCCAAATTGCCCCGTCAGTTTTTTCCCCCAAAGATGCTTCGTCACTAATGTCAGGTTGAGTGACATTGCTGGAGCTGGCGAGCACACTTCCTTTCTGTGCTCCCATTAAAATGATTTTTTTAAAAGAGGCATTTTTCTTGGTTTATTTCCTTAATTTGTCAGTGCCTTTCAGGGCAGCGGTTGAGGGTAGATGCTGTGTAATGACTGAGGTAGCAAGTGCTAATGTACGGCAGTGTTGTTCTGCCTAACGAAACATGACACATACTGTGTGTGTGTGTGTGTGTGTGTGTGTTTGTGAGTGCGTGTAAGCGAGAATAGCAGGAGAAGGCGGCAGAGTGCAGCCAGGGCCATTTTGTGCAGAGTCGGCTCTTCCTGTAGGCCCCAGCTGGGGCTAGGCCTCTGAATCAAAGGTTGTGTGTGTAAGTGCGTGTGTGTGTGTGCACGCATGGTGTGTGTGGGACAAGCACAGCTGCTGCAGGGGCCTTTACAAATGTAAAGAGGCTGTCAGTGTTTGTTTCATCAGGCGCACAACTGATGAGGGCCAAGTTGAAAATCCATTGCACTGTGAGTGTGTGCGTTGAGCGTGCACAAAAAGAGAAAACAAAAATAGAGAGCGGGGGCACAGACTCTCCCCCTCCTCTCCTCCTTTTCCTCTCTTTATCTCCCTGTCTCTCTGTCTCTGTCTCGCTCTCTCGTTCTTGGGCTGTCCAAATGAAATGTGGGCCTCATGTAGGACCATGAAGAGAGGGTCACAGGGTTGTTTTTTCACCGTGCCTGAGCCTCAATGCGCTTCATTTAACCTTATGTTTCAATGCAAATTATTCTTTCATAAGCTCCCCTCTCCTCACGTGTGCAACATGGCAGGGTTCACTTTGCAACCTCCCCGTCACTATGGCTACCAGGGCAAACCAAAGTGTACTGTGGCAAAAGCAACGTTTTACTGCCTGTTTATTTGACCACGTTCACTATGGTTACGTTCCACGTGGCTCCTATGAAAGGCCCGTAACGGTAAAAGATAAAAGTGCTTTCCACATGTGTTTGTTCATTTTGTCAGCGTTGCTTTAGACAAGATAATTTTTCTGTGAATGTATACCCATGCAGAATGTAAAGCGATGAGTTGGAAACCAGCAGGATGTGGCAGGGATAGCCTTAAACAAAAGGCAACAGAGGATACTGCTTTTCAATTTGAAAGTAATCACCCTGCTTTGTTTTTTTTAAATTCACCAATGGGGAAAAAAATCAAAGCAGGGCTACTTTGATTACAGTGCCAAACTGTATCAGCGTGGCATAAAAGTAACTGCCAAGAATATAAAAAGTCCTTGTGAAGATTGCCAGCAATTTACACACAATGGAAAATAACTGATGCAAACCAAGAGTTACTGTGTCATTCACACTTTTCAGAGAAAACAAAAAGCATACGATATACCATTTCTAAGGAACAGGAAAACGCACAACTCATAGCCAGATGTGTTCCGCAGCCTTATTTCTCTTTGTCTTCATTTTTACTGGACTAGAATGTCAGGTAATTAAACATTGCCTCAGTTCACGTGTCCCCCACGCTCAACAGTTTTGTGTTAAAGCAAGGAGGATGCAGACCTTCCCACGCTGCAGGCACAGCCTCATGTCCCTTTGGCCTCATCTCTCCTCTCGCAGGGCCTGCCGACTCGACAAGCACTGCCAGAAAAATTTCTGGGAGTGAAGTTGGCGACCTCCTTTTAATTCAGCCTTATTTATTTATGTATTTATTAAGTTAGTGCTGAAATGAGAAGGAGGAGGAGAAGGGAGCCCTTTTTTTTCCTTAAATAAAGTCAGCTTTG